TTATTGAAATACGTTTTAGCAGCACTTTTAATTCCGAATGAATTGTAACCCCAAGGAACGGTGTTTAAATACAAAGTAAGAATTTCTTGTTTAGTTAAGTTTTTTTCTAATTTAACTGCCACAATTTGCTCTTTTAATTTTTCACGTAAACGAGCAAAAATATTTCCAGAACCTTGATCTAACAATGCTTTTGCTAACTGTTGCGTAATGGTACTAGCACCTCCACTTGGGTTAAAAGTAACTACTCCAAATAAAGCACGACCTATGGCTTCAGCATCCACACCACTATGTTCATAAAAACGTTCATCCTCTGTTGCCACTAAGGCATCAAAAACATTGGGAGAAATTTCAGCAAATTTTACAGGCTCTCTATTTTCTAAATAAAGTTTACCAATTATTTTATCTTCGTTAGAATAAATTTCAGATGCAGTAGCAGATTTAGGATTTTCTAATTCTTCCATTTTAGGCATATAGCCCATCCAACCTGCGTTAATCATCCATATCATTACATTAAAACCAATGACACCAATAACCAAACTCCACCACAAAAATTTTATACTTCGTTTCATATTTTTCAATATTTATTCTGCTCGAAAAAAACGAGAAAACAGAAACACAAAGCTATTAAAATGAATGTTACAAAAAAACTAAAAAAAAGCTAAAGTTTGGAAGGAGAAAATTAATTCAATTTATGTGGGGCAACCAGCTCAAATTCTGGGATGTTAATGCTAAACAATTTTTTATTTAACATGTTTTCCATTTGGTATTTTCCCATCATACGACCCATTTCGGTTCTGATACTTACACCGGACATATATTGAAATGATTCGCCAGGTTCTAATATTGGTTGCTGACCCACTACGCCTTCCCCTTCTACTTCTCTGTGAGTACCATTGCTGTCAAATATTTGCCAATGACGACGTAAAAGCTTGATAGGAAAATTTGAAAAATTATCAATGGATACTTTATAAGCAAACGAATGTTCATTTAACAATGGGTTAGATTGATCGTTATTGTAAAACGTTTCTACAGTGATGCTTATGCCTTCGGTTATGAGTTGTACCATGAATGTTAGAGTTGTGTAAAAATAGGATTATTTTCTTTTTAAACGTTTATTCTCCTGAAATATTATAATTTCTTTAAGAATATTTGCGTCTAATTCTGCATTTCTTGCTTCTATTTCTAAAGGATTATTATAGTAGCCAAATTGAATGCTATATTTTATGTATTTATATAAAAATAAAAAAGCGCCTTCTCTTTTCCATTGTTTGATATGCATCACTTCATGACGTAATAATTCGGTATTATAGATAATTTCTTCTTTAGTAATGCAGTGTAAGTAAATAGTATTAAAAAAAACAATGGCACAAGAAGAACTTCGCAATTTTGTAGCTGCAATTTTTGCAATCCAAGATTTTTCTTTAATAAAAATGGTCATTTATTTCCACAATTTTAAAATCTGTTGAGCATGCTCTTTCGATTTTACTTTGTCGATAATATGTGCAATTTTACCAGTTTCATTTATCAAAAAAGTAGTTCTTAAAACACCCATATATTTTCTGCCATACATGCTTTTTTCACCCCAAACTCCATATTTTTCAAGTACTTCGTGCTTTTCATCAGCTAATAATTGATATGGCAATTCTTGTTTTTCTATAAATTTAATATGCGATTTTTCATCATCAGGACTAATACCAATTACCTCCATTCCTGCTTTTATTAATGCTGAATAATTATCACGAAGATTGCATGCCTCTACAGTGCAAGTAGGTGTCATATCTTTTGGGTAAAAAAACAAAACTACTTTTTTACCTAAATAATCTTTCAATGCTATTTTTTTCCCTTCTTGGTTTTTTAAAGAAAATGCAGGTGCTTTTTTGCCGACTTCAAGTGTT